CAGAGGCCTGGGGATGATGGCAGTCCTCTCTCTGAATCCTCTGGAGGGGGATCTGCAGGTTCAGAATAGCAAGAGATGCAATGAATGAACAAGAAGTGAAGGGCATGACCGCACTCTTTTATTTTAGTTTTGGAGTCTGTAGCACAGTTCCCAAATCTGAGCCGCCTGGTTGTCTATTGCCTGCAAAAGTAGTTATTTTCTAAGAGGCCATTCACACAGAATGCAATTTTTTGTGTTTTAAAATGTAAAACACAGGGTAGTGGGACAAAAGACACAAAGTCTAGACAAACATTTGTGAACTTCTTTTAAAATAAGAGTCAAATTTACATTTAAATACAATGGAAAAAAATAGTGCAGTAGAATGCAAAAACGCAGTGAACGCTTTTTCTGCATTTAAAAAGGCAAGACATGAGGCAATGGAAAAAAAAAATGCAAGGCCTAAACATTTTTTTAAAAGTTGAATTTTAGTTAACTTTTAACTAAGTACTGTGTTTTTAGAACGCCATGGCATATGTGAGATGATGCAAAGGATGCGGACACAATGATCACAAACATTTGACTAATGCATGTTTCCGCAGAAAAACAATGGAAAAGTAACAAACAAATTCAAACTCTAGAGACATGATTTTAAAAAGTTATTTTTATAATATAGTCATGCGCACGATTCTGCAAAAGATGCAAGACATGAAGACATCTGGCCTCCGTTTTTGCATTTAAAAACGTGAGTAGCATTGCAGTGGGATGTAAAAAAAAAAAAAAAATTTGCTAGGTATATAAACACGTTTTTTGACTTCTTTTAACTTGAGCACCATGTTTTTAGTACCATGCACATATCTCTGCAAAACCACCCTTTGTAACATTAAAAAATATCATGTTTTGAACATGTTTACATAGAAAAGTAGCACACTAGAATGCAAACAAGCATTTGCATTCGCATTTTCCAAGTATTTTACACAACATGCATGTTTTATTTATTTCTATTCTTTTAGAATAACATTAGCTCAGCAGCATGCTTAACATCATCAACAACGTTTTTGCGACAATGCCAATCATCTAGTTGAATACATTTTAAATTAAGAGAAGCATTTGCGTGGTGTGGTTTCATTTCAATCCAGATGCTGCCTTGGAAGAAAGCTGTCTATGTAGAAAGCAGACATCAAGGCGGCTCAAAACATAGCTATTGTGTGACTGTTTATCTAAATAAAATCCCATAAGTCTTGATACATAAACGTTTGCTAAAATTATATAGTAACCGCCAATGCTACGTTCAGATATCCAATAAGAGGACACATACAAGTAGTGAGCGAGTGTGCAAGAGAGCCACATACTGTGTGCTTGTGTGTGCCGTTTGCATGCTGATCATTTCAGAACATGATGTCCTGGGACTTAATCATTCCACACACCGCCACGTCACTCTCACTGAAGGAACCCTAATTGGGGGAATCAAAACACACAACAACGTACACAACTCCCCCCGCTGCAAAGAGACCTCAGCTGACTGCCAAGGGCAATATCACTGGAACAGCCCAGCAGATGGGCCTTTCAATTTTCACTCCTGATGCGAGTGCTTGCTGGTCCCACGGCAGACTGGTTGCAGGTTATGCTCTGTTTGTTTGTTTTTATCTATGAGCTGTTACCAAAATCTATACTTACAAAGAGTTGTGGGGCTGGAGAGGGATATTACAATACTGGGATTTATTTATAGAAAGCTGGATGGAGTCCACTGTAAATGTGCTAATGATGTTAACACCTAGGGGAACATCAGGACTGTTAAACATGTCCCGAAAAAAAGAGGCGACAATCTGGCATCCAGAATCATAGAAGAACAATATCCAACATGTGCACAAAAAAACAACCTCTGATTCTTTGGTGTGTGTGTATGTGTGCGGGAACAGAAGCTCTTGTCCAACATTGGGGTTACACTATAATCTGCTCATGTACAACGCACTGCATAGCAGGGTTATTATAATTAACTAAAAGTAAAACCAAAATATTATTTTATTTCAGCGGGTTGCCAAATCAACATTTCTCATTTTAAAATAAAAACTAAACTATAAACTATACAAAACTATAATTCATATGTCAATTATACAAAAAAAAAAACACTGCTGCAAGGTTCAGTACACACAAGACAGAAGATCCAGAATATTAGGTATTAGGCATACAGTGCCCTCCATAACTATTAGGACAGTAAAGACAAAGTTGCTCTGTTTGCTGTGGAGTCAAGAAAGCTGCAAATATGATTAAAAGATGAATATGAGACAAAACTACAGAATGTCACATTTTTATTATTGGGTGATTCAACACAGATGTTTTACCAGCTATGAAGATCAGCACTTCATCCCCCTATCTGATGTGCGCATAAGTATTGGAACAGTTGCCTCACAGGTCTTTCTGAGTGATCAGCTGTGTCCTGTTGCATTAATTCTTCAGATATTAAAAGCAGGGAATGTGTCATATCAGTTATAGCCATTGCTTCTGCATTCTAAGTCTTGCATTCGATGACGACACACAAACCAGGATGAAGACGAGGGAGCTGACTTTGAGAGAAAAGCAAGCAATTTCGATGCTAAAAGAAAAGAGGAAGTCAATAGCAAAAACAAATGGCATGGAGAAATCAAGAGTTTGGAGACCACCGGAGACATCAGCAGCCAACAACGACCTGATCAGCTGATAAAAACAACAGCAGTTGATGACAGACAAATCATTAAAGCTGTAAAAAAAAAAAAAAAAAAGAACCCTAAAATGCATGTCTGTAAAATCACCAATAACCTCCAGAAAGCTGGGGCGATGCTCTGATAATCTACAGTACTGTCCGCAGGAGACTTTGACATAGAATTACAGAGGCTACAGCAAGATGCAAACCTCTGACCAGCACCAAAAATAGAAAGGCAAGATTCGAGTTTGTGCAAAAAAGCACAAAGGGTGAGCCAGTAGAGTTTTGGAACGGAGATGTATGGACAGATGAAACAAAGATTAACCTTTATCTAAGTGATGGGAAAGCAAAAGTGTGGAGAAAAAAGGGAACTGCAAATGATCCTAAGCACACAGCCTCATCTGTAAAGCATGGTGGGGGTGGTGTCATGGCATGGGCATGTACGGCTGTCTCTGGAACAGGCCCTCTCAACTTTAATGATGACTTAATGTATGATGACAGTAGCAGAATGAATTTGGAAGGGTACAAAACCATCTTGGCTACCAATATTCAAGAAAATGCCACCAGACTCATCAGAAATTGCTTCATATTGCATCAGGACAATGACCCAAAACACCCTGCCAGTTCAGTCAAGGAGTTTATCAGGGCAAAGAAATGTCAAGTCTTAGATTGCTCAAGTCAATCTCCAGATTTAAATCTGATTAAACATGAATTTGACCATCTGAAGAGGAGACTAAAGGCAGAAACTCCCCAAAACAAGCATCAGTTGGAATTGGCTGCATTAAAGGCTGGGAAAAGCATTTCAAAGGATGAGACCAAGAGTCTGGTAATTTCTATGGGTCGCAGACTGACGCAAGGGATCTGCAACTAAATAATAGCTTTTAATCTTTTACATCTGCCTTAAGTTCAACTGTTCCAATACTTATGCTCACATCAGATAGTGGGATGAACTCTAAAAGTGCTGTCCTTTTTATTTGGTAAAACATGTATGTGTTGAAACAGCTAATAATAAAATATGACATTCTGTAGTTTTGTCTCATATGCAGATGTCTTGACAACACAGCAAGCAAAGCAATTTTGTCATACTGTCCCAATACTTATGGAGGGCACTGTATATTTACAGCTACACACACACACACAATTACATTATTAAAATAAGTCATAAATAAATTACTATTAAATAAAATTCAATATAAATAAAATGCACAAATATAAAATAACTTAATTATTATCTAGAAGATACTGACTTTGTATAAACCTGAGGAGAAAAAAATGTAACCGTATATATCTTTCCAGAGCAGTTTTACACATTTGACAGCCCTGAAATAATAGAAAAACTATATTTTTTTTGTCTTAGCTTTTCTACAGACACCCTAGAATCCTTTTGTGCACCTCTTGGAGGCCCTGGACCATAGTTTGAAAACCCCTGTGACAGTCTACTCCAAATGCTTAATAAAATTCAAACAAGTAGACTAAACATTTCATTTTTTCGCAGGAAAAGACATCATGACAACATTGACTGGCTATAACTGCAACACGAAGACACGAGTTTGAAAACCCCTGTGACAGTCTACTCCAAATGCTTAATAAAATTCAAACAAGTAATTTGACAAACATTTCACTTTTTCGCAGGAAAAGACATCATGACAACATTGACTGGCTATAACTGCAACACGAAGACACAACACACTTCACTTAGCTTTAATGTCAAAAGCCCTAACAAAATCTCTTATAATAAAATATCTGAATATGGTACCTAACATTAGGGGCTAACTGGGCCATGCTAACCCACCAAACTTTAACCCCTTTAACATTCAAGAAAACTGCACTTGTTGAGACATTTACTGTGGTTTGGGAAGGTGAAGCGGGTCATTTCAGCACAGCTAGTGTCACTGAATGGAATTGCAAAAACAATAATGTTTTTCAAACGAGTTTTTACAAACACAACATATGTCATCCATCTGCCATGAGTTACACAAACAGTTTGTCCCGCAACACTATTAGTTCAGCCAAAAGTTGACATTTTAGGCCGGTCAAAAGTATAATATTAACATAGGGTACAGAGCAACAGTGTTTACATCTTTTGGGAAAATCAACTTACTTGTAGCTGACTATTTTAAGCTGGGATTGAGAAAGTATTTCACCTTTAAATGGAGACAAAGCTCTTTTTTGGAGGGAGAACATCTTAAGATACATTTGTGATTTTATAATATATATGTTTCCTAAATGTTTGCATTTTAACTGACCTGGAATTTTGACGTTTATAAGATGTTAAAAGTAGGCCGCAGTTCTGTCGCCCTCTACTGGACTAAGCGCGCAAACACACTAGCCGTAAACATGCGATGTTTTGTCGCAAAAAGGAACTGTCGTAAAGAATGTGCTTAGCGGCAGCCGTACACACATACACGTGTATCCAGAGGTGTTCTGAAGATATATGTAAGTTACACACTGCGAATGTAAATATTAGCTTTAACACAGCAATAAATATTGAAGTCCGTGTATTTGGTAGTAATTACGACTGTGAGCGGTGTTTGTACGTGATATCTGTTAGAATAAAAAGCTATTTTTTGGCATATGTGAGATGGCTAACCAACATCTAATTTTTCTTACAAGGGTCTCTTGCATCTGAATATATTTAAAGGTGGGTGATCGGTTATTTAGATGATAACAGATATGTAAGATTATGAATAGTCATTGTTATCAGGTCATGTGTTGTCTGTATCGGTGTTTTTTAATTATGCTTATGGCGTTACCAACATTTGCACATTTTAGGTGTTTCAATAGACTTCAGTTTATGGAGCTTCTCTAATAAAGAGATGATGAAGTGAATCAGGTGTTTAATGAGGTAGACACCCAAATTGATCATGGAAAATGTGGAAAAAAAAAAAAAAAATTTAAACATTGCGTTCTCCAGACTAGGAGTATATATATAACGTACATAGAGAAAGTTGGTTTTTTTTGTAATATATATATATATGCATGTATATATATATATATATATATATATATACACACACACACCTTTTTATGACTTTACTTTTATTATTACCTCTGTCTTCTCTCCTCAGTTTCTATCAGGATGGCAAAAAGTTTGCGCAGCAAGTGGAGGAGAAAGATGAGAGCGGAGAAAAGAAAGAAAGTTGCACCCAAAGAACTGGCACGCCTCAAAACAGTGCTGGGTCAGGGAGAGAAAGGAGAGATCACCATGAAAGATGTCGCTGAGATCGCCACCTTGGTGCCGCCTGAGAAAGTGAAGGAGAAGCCAGAGGATGTTGAGATGCAAGGAGATGGTGAGCTTTTATAGAAACATTTAGCAATTCGGCTTATATGTTGTGTCTTAGCATATTAAATGCAGATCTGTTGTTGCTTTGCAGCGGATGGTGGAAAGATGGATTTAGACACTAAACGCAATAAAAAGACAATGTTGGACGATCAAGGACGGTATCCGGTCTGGATGAACCAAAGGCATATAAAGAAGGTGAAAGCCAAACGCATGGCTACAAAAGGAAAGCCTAAGACGAAGAAGGGGCTCGCCTGGTAGATGAACTGATCTGCTTGTGCACGGACATTATGCCTGACACAGCTGTACAGGAGCTTTGCTGTGCATCTTTTACATGTGCAGTTTGTACATTTCTATGGACTGTTGATGCAATCTTCCAGTGTCTGGAAGAGCCAGACACTGTAAGTCACCCGCATTGTACTACACAACTGACTCTTCCAATGAAATATAAATTTTTCCTCTCTACTTCAATCTCTCACTCTGTGGATCTGCTTTACTTTGAAGTAAAAATCCAATATACCTTTCTGGGGGATATAGTTTTATTTTGCAGTCAACAAAACTGCACAACATTGAGTCAATAAAGAGACAAGCATAAGCCAAGCCAGTGGCTTTTGTATCTCTCTATAAGGCAGCATGGTATACGTTTAGATTTAATCGCTGCACCAACCAAAATTCTTTATAATAGTAAATTTGAATTCCGCAAACAACTTAATGTATTAGCACATTTGTAAATCTTCTGATTCAGTGCATAAAGGTTTAGAAAACTGGTAAGTGACATGACATTCCTCATTTAAAACTATTAACAGCGTTTCATAATTACTGTAATATTTGACATCCTATTATCTGAGAGATTACATGGAATATTAGCACTTTTAAAAATCCATTTTTCATATTGTAGGACTGGGAATCAGCTAAAACTGAACATTTTTCAACTGAAATTTTCAACTGAAAATTGTGACTAGTTAAACATTTATTTAATGTTCTTTTATACACTATCGTTCAAAAGTCTGGGGGCAGTATTTTTATATTTAAATGAATACTGTAATTTAGAAAAGATGCATTAAATTGATCAGAAGTAACAGTAGAAGCATGCATGTTACAAGATTTCTATTTCAAATAAATGCTGTTCTTATGAACTTACTATTCATCAAAGAATTGTGAAAAAAAATCATGGTTTCCACATAAAAATATCAATCAGCACAACTGTTTTCAACATTGATAATAATGCTTTTTGAGCACCAAATCAGCATATTAGAATGATTTCAGAAGGATCATGTGACACTTGAGACTGAAGTAATGACTGCTGAAAATTCAGCTTTGCATCACAGGAATAAATTACATTTTAAATACATTGAAATAAAAAACAATTAAATTGTGATAATATTTCAACTATATTACTGTATTTTGATCAAATAAATGCAGCCTTGGTGAGCATAAGAGCCTTTCAAAACATTACAAAATATTACAGACCCCAAACTTTGAATAGTAGTGTATATAATCACATACATTTTAATCTAAAATCTTTATGGAAAAAAAAATATGAATGTCCCATGTTTGGTTACTAATCGTGTGCACCAAAAATAACTTTCATTCTGTACATGTTAGTATATTGCACTTGTATATCATAAAACATGCAATAAAAATAATTGTAAGTGGCTAATAAACAAAAATGTGATCACTGATTATTAGCATCTACTGGAGCTCCACAAAAGTGGCAGGAAACAGGCCTGTGCGACCATGACACGTTCCTTTCCACCAACCCTCATCCACCATCTCAACGTTAGTGATAATGTCACCTGGCATGAAGGAGATTTCGTCACTGGCCTCTGCAAAAGTATGATTGATATTCATAATACACAGCAGACTAAACGAAAACCAAAAAAACTCAACAGAAATAAATGATGTAGCTCTGCAGAGTCAGGACACCGTTTAATAAAATACAATGTCAGTGAGGTATCAATCAGCTGCTATGGACCGTAATGGCTGTACATACCTCCTTGGTAGTCATAAATGGCCGTGGCTGTATGTCCTGCCCCACTTAGTTCTTCATAGTCATTATCAGCAGCTGTAGAAGAAGCCAAAAAATTAGGAATAACAGCTGTTGGCAATCACAAACATTTATAGCCGTTATAATTAGAACCATCTATTTTTTTTTCTTTGATTCCCACAGTGAACACATGTAGTAAATATCAATGTGTGTGTCAAACCTGCAGTAGCATATGAGCCAATATCCTCATAATCTTCTTCCTGGGGTACAGGGGCAGGTTCACATTCAGCATAAGTTTGCTCCTCCTCCTCCTCCTCTTCCTCTTCTATCGGGTCAGCTGAGCGGGGCGGCAGTAATGGCGGCTCCTCATATTCAGGCTCCTCCTCTACCTGAAAAACACACCACGCAGATGATGATCAATTATCTCAGTATATGTGCTTAAAATGATTATGACAGTTCCATTACTTGTCTTGAAACAGAACAGTACAGAAGAACAGGGTTTCTGCAGGATTTTTAAGCTCAAATTTATCAACCTCCTTTTTAAGACCTGCACAAATAAAATTAATACCATATGAGCGGGGTAGGGCAATGTCTATAGTACCATATTAAACTGTAAAATTACTGTAAAAAGCATAATTTTCAGTTCAGATACAAGTTTTCACAAAAACAAAAAGTTTTATAAAATGATAAACTTTATATTTCAGCCTTTAAACAATTTTTAAGAAAATGGATGAGTCAAAAGTATTAATTACAATATTACTTTAAACAATTATTAACAATAAATTATTATATCAATTAAATAACAAATTAGGGGTGTGCGATATTGACAAAAAATGATATCGCGATAATTTACAGGGATTTAATCGATAACGATAATTAGACAATATTTTGCTGAGTGTGTTATTGTGCTGATATCTTTTTTTTAATTGTGCTGACAGCTGACTCCTGAATTTAATAGACTGATTCATGCAGTGAAAGAACGCACTCTAAATGCGCGCAATAGTCTAACCTGCTAGACCTTATCATCTAATGTATGTGTGCACTCTGTTTCGTTTGCTTTTCGCGATATACTCGATAATATCAAATCACACATCGTTAAAACAACAATTACGATATTATCGCAGACCATACATATTGCACACCCCTGCTCTGTTTAGATTTTTATAATGCATTGTCTTCTTATCGATCCACCAGTTCACATTTAAAGCTCTGCGTGTTTGCAGGGTAAAAACATGGGTCGATTTTTGCATTTGTCTGAACTCTGAACAAAACATCAGTTTTATTGAAAATGCTCATTCATTCTGACAGCAGGTGGAGCATTTGGTAGAAATATAACTGTTTCCCCGGTAACTGCTGTACACAAAGCAGCGCAGCACCGAACATGCAGCGCTCGTGTTTATTTAATGAAATCATAGCCTTTTGAAGTTTAATCCTCACATTCAGCCATATCGCAATTCTTGTCTTTCCGTCCCCAAATTTGAGACCTCTTGAAATCATAATTAAGACTTTCTTGTACGATTTAAGACTTTTTAAGGCCTTAAATTTGATACAACAAAATGTAATACTTTTTAAGACTTTTTTAAGACCCGCGGAAACCCTGGAAGAATCAACAACTAAACTAGATTTTCAGAAGAAAATTTGAGGCCCTTGCTAGGGTGTTATTGAGTTTTTACTAGGTGGTTGCTAACTGGTCCAAGATAAATTTCTATAATATTACAGTCCTTAGATATGACTTAGATATACTTAGACTTCAACTCTCTTCACTTAAAGAATGCATCAAACTTTTCTCTTCAAAAGAGCAATGAAAATATAACATTGCCTGAGCTTCTTCCTCTGGTTCATCTCTGGGAATTTCAGGCAGTCTTCTGAATGTCTCTGGGGGATTCTGGGATGCTGGCACAGGTGGTGGTTTCTGGTTCTCTTCCTCCTCTTCACGCTTGCTCTGCTCCTTAAGAGAGAAGATGACCAGCGTTACAAAGTGTTCATTAGTGTGTGAAAAAGAAAAGGCTGGTGTGTGGGTGTGTTATCTATTGTTGTCATGCATTTCTATTAAAAGTGTAGCGAGCATGTCTATATATATATAGAGATATGTATGGGTATTAAGACAAACGTGAACCTCCTGTTTGCGTTGTGCCTCTTCTTGTTCTCTCTTCTCTCGAGCGAGTCTTCTGACTCTCTCCTCATCTGCTCTCTTTCTATTCTCCTCATCTGAGGCCTTCGCCATGTTCTCAAAGCGAGCCTTAAGGTTTCCAGCTCCTACACTTGCTATAAACACCAGAAAGAGAAGAATCTACTGAGTTCCTGAAAAGTATATGGACCCTTTATCAACACATTTAAAATGTACGAATGTCACTGCATTACTACTCAAATGTAACATTTCCATGTATATATGTACAGCAAACACTCACAGGCCTCAAAAGCCTGAGGCTTTTCATAAGATGATGATGGTGACTCCATATCACTGAATGAAGCTGCACTCTGTGGGGATAAAAAAATAACTATGTACATTCACTGGGAAACTGTCAAACATTTGTTGAAACTTCCATAATAATGCTATACAATTCATGTGAAATGTATACCTTATCCATGCGATCTGCTTCGACTCCATAACGTCCTCCAAAACCCTTTGCATAGTCTGAAATCAATAAGAACATATATATTTAGTATTATGTAAAATAGACCAAAATGTGTTGCATCTCTAGCTTTAGCTGTCAGTTAGAAACATCACATTTTGTGGTGCTAAACACCAGGGCCCTCAGAAAAGTGCTTAAATTATGACCTAGCCCTGGGGCCACTCACAAAAGATGATACAGCGAAAGATAATCACTAGATTTGTAGTCAAAAAAGGAAGAAAGGGAGCCACTAGTTGTGGCAGGAGGCTCCAAAGTTGAGTTCCCAGGGCCCTCAATGGACATATGTTCAGAAATAGATACCGGGTGATGTGACGCTTAATGCAGCCTATGCGGCAAAAAATACATCAGAATAAATATGAAGGTGGGTTTTGAAAGAGTTTTCCATTAGTCAAGTGATCTCAGGGAATATTTATCGTACCTTTCTGTGACTGATGTTTCTCTGTTTCTCCTTTATAGTCATAACCCAAAGCAGCCTTGTCAACCTTTTCTTTTTCCACTCCGTATTTTCCCCCGAAGCCTTTTGCGTAGTCTGCGAGATGTTTAGAAAACAGAATTATACTTTATAAACTATTCCTCCACCAAAAGGAGGCAAATATAAGGATCGAGGACCAGGATGTTGGTCCATATAACAGCAGAGATTGATTGAAATTACCTTTCTGTGACTGATGTTTCTCTGTTTCTCCTTTGTAGTCGTAACCCAGAGCAGCCTTGTCAACCTTTTCTTTTTCCACACCGTATTTCCCCCCGAAGCCTTTTGCGTAGTCTGCGAGATGTTCAGAAAACAGAATTTTGCTTTATAAACTATTCGTCCACCAAAATGAGACCAAAACATGGATTGAGGACCAGGATGCAGACCTTTCTGCCAGTATTTAGAAAATCTCTGAGAGATTTAAATTACCTTTCTGTGACTGATGTTTCTCTGTTTCTCCTTTGTAGTCGTAACCCAGAGCAGCCTTGTCAACCTTTTCTTTTTCCACACCGTATTTCCCCCCGAAGCCTTTTGCGTAGTCTGCGAGATGTTCAGAAAACAGAATTTTGCTTTATAAACTATTCGTCCACCAAAATGAGACCAAAACATGGATTGAGGACCAGGATGCAGACCTTTCTGTGACTGGTGTTTCTCAGTCTCGCCTTTATAATCATAACCAACTGCGGCCTTGTCAACCCTCTCTTTCTGCACACCATACTTGCCACCAAAACCTTTAGCATGATCTTATGAACAGTAAAGAAGTGATTGTTATATGAAGCACAGAAAAATAGAGAAGATGATGCATAGAACATAGATGCCTGAACTTTTGGATTTGACATGTTTGAAAAGTACCTTTCTGAGATGCATGCTGCTGTACCTCACCCTTATACTCATAGTTCATGGCAGACTGTGATAAATCAGTGATAAAAGGCAAAGAAAATAAAATATAAATTCATTTATTTATATTATACAATCACATGAGAGAGTTTCTAACCTTGTCCACACGGTCCTTCTGTACACCAAATTTGCCCCCGAAACCCTTTGCTGCATCTGTCTGGGATGAGTGCTTTTCTACCTCTGCCACATAGTTGTGCCCTAAAGCACCCTGGGAAAATTCAACACATCGTTTTTTTTTATTAAAACCATCCAACAAATAGCGATTGGTGTCACTGACATCAAACCTGGTGCAATGTGTTTTTAAACAGCAAGCTTGAATATTCATATATGCAGAGTTTGCACTCCTGTGGAGAGGTTTTAGACGTAAGGTGCGTTCTCATCAAGCGGCAACCGTCCGGTCTCTCTCGTGAAACCAACAGGGAAGTGACTAAAACTGCAATTCATCGACTGGCCGCTAGAGGCTGGCTGCAAAAGGGAGTCAGTCCCATAGACTCCCCATGTTAAAATGCCGAACTTTACAGGAGAAAAAAATATGTTTACAGCCTGGTACAAAAAGCGGTTTTGGTGTATATAGCTAATTTTGCCCTTCATGACAACTGTGAGGGGGGTGAATTTTTTTATAACTCATCCGTTTAAATTATATTAAGCCTTAAAGTTCTGCATAATTAAGGGCGTGGCCACTTGAGTGGCAGGTGGATTGCCGCTGCTGTCACCGGCGTCGAGCTAGGTGGGCGTGGTTTCAGCAACCAGCTCCCGCCCCTTTGCCCATTTTCGATTATCCGGGAGTGACGTGCAGCCAAGATGGCGATGGCCGGCTCCGCCCACTTTGAGCTTCAAAACC